AAATCGGATAGGGATGAACGGGTTTAAGAGTTTTTAAGAGTTTTAAGAGTTTAAGAGTTTTTAAGAGTTTTAGCCAAATGCATTATAATATAGTATAGATAATTATAAAATAAAATAAATTATATATATATATATATATATATATATAAATGATATAGATAAGGGTGGAAAATGAAAAATTAAATAAATATATGGTATAAAACATAACTTTTAAAAATGATTCACTTATTTATGATATTTAATAATAGGGTTAAGTCACATAAATATTCAATATTGGGCTCATTTTCAAGGCATTGATAAGACTATTATAATGGTATAATTTGTAAAAAAAAATGTATCTTTTAATGTATTTTAGTTCATGTATGATTATTTATGTTAATATGATAAAAAAAATGTAAAAATGAAAAAGTAAATGATATAAAATAAATTAATAACTATTTATAAGGGTATAGAGTGTAATTAAAAAATTAAAAATAATTTGATCTTAGTATTATCTTGGGACGCATGGATCGTAAGTGTGAGAAGATGGTTTTCATATAATTTAAAGAAGTTGCATACTATTCATAAAATCTTGTATTATTGAAATTTCAAGATAACTGCAATATTGAAAGTCGTTATAAGCTGCTCTAAAACTTGTATATTTAGCATGAAAATGAATGTCTCTAAATAATTCAAGAATAACCATAACTTCTCATTTTTAATATAGATAAGGGGTATAAGATAGAAAATCAAAAATGAAAAATTAATAAGTTTTAAAAATAATCCATCATGTAAATTATGTTATTTAATAATATGATCAAAAAAAATATATTCAATATTAGGCTTATTTTGAAGATATTGATGTGACGATTATAATGGTATAATTTGTAAAAAAAACCGTATTTTTTAATGTATCTATACATCTAATAAATAAGTAACTTTGGGGACACGTGTCATGTTTCTGTGCGACGGTTATTGATTTTTCTCGCCTAAACATGTATCTAGACACAATTTTCACTTACGGTTCAAATAGGTCTATTTAAGTGACATATGTCACTCTACATGTTTATTTTCCTGTTTTCGTGGTTTAACTGATTTTCCAGACTAATTAGAAATCTCTTATATGTTTTCTATAGTTTTTAAATCTGGAGGCTTCTTATCCAGACTTAAAAGCCTCAACGTTGAACATGTATGTAGACACAATTTACATTATTGGTTCAAATGGGCCTATTTAATTGATATATGTCCCTGTAAATATAATTGATTTCCATATCAAAATGGATTTTTTTTTTCAAATACTTAAATAAGCAGAAGTCTGGATTTCCATTCCTCAGACTTGTAAGTCTGAACTCATTTTCCGCAATTAAAATTCAGAGTTGTCTGTCAGACTTATAAGGCATATCAATATAAAAGTCTGATGACAAGTCTAAACTCATTTTTCTCAGTTAAAATTCAGAGTTGTCTTTCAGACTTGTAAGATATATTAGTATAAAACTCTAAGAACAAGTCTGAACTTTTTTTCCTCGGTTAAAATTCAGAGTTGTCTTCCAGACTTGTAAGACATACAAATATGAAAGCTTGGGAAAATCAGAGTTATAAGTCTGAATTGTAAGTCTGAATTTAACTCTAGAGTGGTCATCAAAACCAGGTTTAAAATTTCAAATTCGGATTTTTGAAGCATTTTTCGCAAAACAATATTACCCGGGAAAAAAAATTCCAAGCTCAACCCCAGCCAGGGGCTGCCGCGATCGGGGCCGCTGCCCCTGGACCTCCGTCGTTTAGGGGCTTCGCCCCTAAATGAAAATAAACTCAAACAAGTGTGTACTCTACACTTTCCTTACTTCTTCTAGGGGTGAGCAGCGGAATTGAGTACCCACTTGCGGAACCGGAATTGCCTTAGAACTGTCGGTTCCAGAACAGGAACCGATATGAGTGGTTCCGGTTCCAGTTTCTAAAATATGGAACCGATTGAAAATAGTTTTGGCTCCGGTTCTCAATTTTTCGGAACCGTTATCCGTCGGGACCGGTTCCGGGAACGGGTACTCGGAACCAGCGGGTACCCGGTATTTTTCAATCAAAAAATAATAATTAATTTTTTATATATAATTTATGCAGTTTTTTATGTAATTTGTGTAGTTTTATATTAAAAATATGTGCAATTTTTTATATAATTTGTGCAGTTATTTATACAAAGTTTGTGCAGTTTTTTTATATAAAAATTGTGTAGTTTTTAGTTAAAAATATGTGCAGTTTTTTACGAGTTTGTGTAGTTTTTTTAACACTCAATTATTCACAAGTACCGTACGAAGTTGAGGATGTGATGGGTATGCAAGAAGTTGAAACCAGATTTAGAATTTGAGATAAAATGATTCGTATTTTTTCAAATTGTGTGTTTAATTGGATTCGTAGTATGTAATCGTTAATCTTTGAACATTTACAATTATATTATGTAATATTAGTCTATTATGGTTTCTAATCGTTAAACAATATTTATAACCATTATTCCGTATAATTTGTATTCTTGTTTATTTATTTAGTGTTTTGGCAAAGTTTTTTTTTTTTTATTTTTAAATATTTTAGAAAATATTTAAAAATTTAAATAACAAAATTTTAATATTTTAGAAAGCGGGAACCAAAAATTCAATAAGCGCTCCAACCGGTTCCGGTTCCAACATCTCAAGAACCGCCGGTTCCGCTTCCTGTCAAATAGGACGGATACCCGCCTATGCTCACCCCTAACTTGTTCGATATTTATCATGATTATATTGGTCAACAAATTAATCTCATTACACTTAAATGACATTAGTGATACAAATCACTAACATGAAGTCATCAGATATTGGTTATTTCTCAGACTTACAACATAACTCTGAATTGTTTTGTTCCAAACTTAGTTTTATAGTTTATTCCCAGACTTAAAATACAACTCTGAACTCCTCTTGTTGAAGTTCAGTGTTACGTTTATCAGTTATAAAAAGTCAGAATTCTTGTGACTCAGAGTTATGCTCATAAATACTTTCTAAACTTAGAAGACAACTATGAATTTCTCTTATTCAGAGTTAAGTCCAGAGTTATTTTCCAGCCTATGTTCAGAGTTTTCTTACAGAGTTAATGTCCAAAGTTTTCCTCATTTAAAATAGCCCGTGTAATACACGGGGTCGAACCTAGTTTTAGTTAATATATGATTATGTATGTTAATGTGATAAATGTGTAAAATGAAAAAGGAAGAAATATAAAGTAATTAAATAACCAACTAAAAGAGTATAAAGTGTAATCTGAATATAGAAAATAATCTTATTTTTAATTATCTCATTCAACATAGAAGATTGTGAAGCTTTTAAACTTGTACATGATGTATCAAGATTTATATATCATAAAAATTCAACACTAACCGTTTAGGATGCTTTATAATATACTAAAAGAATACTCACGCAATGCAGCGAGATAAGTCTCAATTTTAA